GCCAGTCACGGTGACTTAGAGAGACCCTATCTCAAAAATAAAAATAATATAGAACACAAGTCCAGAGCAATGGAGAGAGCTGACCGTGGTCTGAAACCGTGAGCCAAAATAAATCCTCCTTAAACAAGAAAGAAAGAAAAAAAGAACCTGTTTAAATCCATTAAAAAAAAAAAAAAAAAAAACACCAAACACAGCAGAGATCTCTTTGGAAGAAATATATCCATGCAAAGACTTGTGCAAAGACGTTTACAAGCAGCATTATCATTCACAAAAGCGCCAAATTGAAAACAACCTCTATGTCTGTCAACTGGTTGATGGATAAACAAACGTGCTGTAGCCACGCAGCCAAGCATCGTTGATCATGAAGAGGAGTGCAGTACCATCCTTGCTGCTCGGTGGACGAGCCTTGAGAACATCATACACCTGGGCGGATCCTCATCCCCAGGCCCATCAACACAAAAACTCAGCTTTTTATATGTCAGTCATATCTCAATGAAGAGATTTATTTAAAGAAATATTACACTAAGTGTGAGAAGGCAGACACAAAGCTCCATGTATTGTCAGATGCCCTTGATACCAAATGTCCAGAAAAAACAAATCCACAGAGACAGAAGTGATGGGCGGTGACCTGGGGTTGGGGGGCAGGCTGCCAGGTCCAGGGAAGGAGAGAGATGAGGGGCACATGGTCAAGGGGTGGGAGGGAGCTGCTTTTGAGGGTGATCGAAGTGCTCAAGGGCTGGGGGTCTTGCGCCTCCTGGCAGAGAGTGGGCTTAGCACACATGGGCTGTGCGCTCAATCCCCAGCACCAAAATGGATGTGGCGAGGGTCGCGGGGTCCATGACTCCACTAACACCGTGGACTCCCATCCTTTAAACGGGTGAGCAAACTGTGTGTGAGTGACTCCCAAGCAGCCATTCAAGCCCCAGCCGAGGACGAGGACAAGCCGTGGTTCACACACATTTGCCAGTGAGCCCCGTCCATGCACCAAGCCCTCGACTGAATCCTCACTTCAACGCTGCCTGCTCCTCCCCAGGAGCTTCAATGGCCCCCGTTTCCCAGAGACCCCGAAGCTCAGAGGAAGAAGGGAGTGTGCCCAGGCCAGGGCAGGGACCCAGTAGGGTGGTTCTGGCTCTTCACCAGCACCGTCTGGGAAAGAGGAGAACCTAGATTCCACAGAGACAGCACCCCCTCCGCCCACCTGCTAGGACCAGGCATTCAAAGGACAAGGACCCTCCCCAGCCACTCTGGATCCCTTTCTCTGCTCGCCAAGGCAACACCAGCCCACTCTCTGGGACGTCCATATAGAATGCCATCAAGAAAGAAGCAGAGGCCCTGGGTCCCGCCTTCAGGAGTCCAACTCCCATGCAGGAATTTGGAAAGAGATATCCATTCCTTTGATTAGATTCCTTCCTTCCTTCCTTCCTTCCTTCCTTCCTTCCTTCCTTCCTTCCTTCCTTCCTTCCTTCCTTCCTTCCTTCCTCTCTCCCTCCCTCCTTTCCTTCCTTCCTTCCTTTCTTTCATTGGGGATTGAACCCAGTGGTGCTTAACCACTAAGTCACATCCCCAGCCCTGTTTTGAATTTTATTTATTCGTCTCGCTGAGTTGCTTAGGGCCTCACTGAGCTGCTGAGGCTAGGTTTGAACTCACAATCCTCCTGCCTCAGCCTCCCAAGCTGCTGGGATTTTAGGTGTGCACCACCGCGCCTGGCCTTCGTTAGATACACCTTTTTTTAAAAATATATATATATATTTTTAGTTGTAGATGGACACAATACCTTTATTTTGTTTATTTCATTTTTTTGTTTGTTTATCTTTATGTGGTGCTGGGGATCAAACACTGTGCCTCATGCATGTAGGTGAGCGCTCTGCCACTGAGCCACAATCCCAGCCCTAGATACACTTTGGAAGTCAAAGAAAAAATATATTTTTTTGGAGAGGGATTTGAAAAGGACCCCTCACAGTGGAATTATAACCAATTCCATGAGCCCAATTTCAGTTATTTATGTCGCTGTTGGTGGACTTTTGAAGAAGCAAGGGACACTTTGAATCTCAAGTTGGTTTTGTTAAACAAAACCCAGAAGACCAGCTCCTTGGTCACTTGGATGCAGTGGAAACAGCTGAGTCCATCTGGAACTTCCCCGGCATCTGATCCAAACTGAGGGCAAGTGTTTAGCTGGGAGACAAAGAGGGACCTTAAGTGCAGAAAAACCCCTTTTGTGCCCACACTGCCTGCAAGTTATGTGCAGTTATGCAGCTATTTTGGGGACAATAATGTTTTGTAAACAGTCGGCAAAGTGGCTTTGTGGGCAGTGTTTCTGTGGCTTGGGACCGTTTCGCCGACAAGGACCATACAGAAGATAAGAAGACATGGTTGTGACAGTCCCTTTGAAAAGTACAAATAAATTAACACCAGTATGGATAATAAGTAATAGAAAATACTTAAATTTTTTTTTTTTTACTTGTTGATGGACCTTTATTTTATTTACTTGTTTGTATGCAGTGCTGAGAATCGAACCCAGTGCCTCACATGTGTGGGGAAAGTGCTCCACCACTGAGCCACAACCCCAGCCCTGAAAACACTTTTTAAAAAATGTCTATCCGGGCTGGGGATGTGGCTCAAGCGGTAGCGCGCTCGCCTGGCATGCATGCGGCCCGGGTTTGATCCTCAGCACCACATACAAACAAAGATGTTGTATCCGCCAAAAACTAAAAAAAATAAACGTTAAAAAAATTCTCTCTCTCTCTTAAAAAAAAAAAATGTCTATCCACAGGGCTGGGGCTGGGGCTGGGGCCCAGTGGTAGAGTACTTACCTTGCACACGTGAGGCCCTGATTCTATCCTCAGCACCACATAAATAAGTAAGTAAAACAAAGGTATTGTGTCCATATTTAATACAAAAAAATAAACAAATAAATAAATATACCTATCCACAAGCCTCTACTGTAGGTGCCCAGATCCATTAACACCTGGAGGCAATTACAGATGGGGGGTAACTGAGCCATCCTGCATTTTCAGGATGAAGTCTTTCAGTGCAGGTTTAACCTGCTCCAGCAAAGGCAGGTGATCCGTGGTGCCAGTCATATGAAGACATCCACAGGCATGTGATTTTTTAAATATACATTCTTTTATTTATTTATTTATTTATTTATTTATCTTTTTAGTTGTTGATAGACCTTTATTTTATTTACTTATATGCAGTGCTGAGAATCTAACCCAGTGCCTCACACAGGCCCAGCAAGTGCACCGGCATGTGATTTTTTAAAGTACAGTGACTGTAAATATTTTGGGGAACCCTGAACATGCAAAACTGAGTTCACATTTTTTAAGCCTGTGCCATAGTTGGTTTTTCATTCTATGGTGACGTGTCTTAGCTCAGTGGCCAAGATTCACAGCTCCCTGGACCATCCCAGAAGGTTACTTCTCTCTCTCTTCTACTGAATGAGTCGGTGAGTTTTCAGGTCTTTAGAATACATGTGCTGCCAGGAGGCTTGGACCAAGCATAGTTATTTATATTGATCTGCCATTTTTTGTCTGCTTGGTAGGACTGGGCCCTGTGCCGGGCAACGACCACTTTTAATCCTTGTGACAACTTCATGAGGTGCGTTGAACCCTCCCCATTTCAGAAATGAAGAAACCGAGGCTCAGAGAAGTTCAGAAACCTTCCAAAGACACGCAGCCAGAACACCGCAGAGCAGCAGTGGGGACCTAGCCCCTCCGACTCTGTGCCCCTGGGTCTCTTCATCGCCCACCTGGAGTCCCACCCCCATGACAAAGAAGGAAAGACGGACTACAACAGCAATCACGCGGCCTCCTGCAGCAGCCCCCCCCCCCCCCGCAAGCAGACCCTGCACTGGAGCCTTCCATAAATTGATCCTCCTAGTGTTGACCGGATTTGAAAAGCAGATGATCCCCCTGTAGACGTGGAGAGTGGTGGCTCTGAGAGGTCACCCGGCCAGGCAGCTGTGGAGCTGGGATTCCCCAGGATTCAGGGGCAGGTGGGGCAGACAGGGGTGGACTCAGTTGTCTCCACACTTTGGAGACAAGCCTCTGTAAGGCCTGGTGTAGTAACTGGGAGCAGCCTGCACTGGGGGCTCCCACCAGCACAAGGCCTTGCCGCTGAGGGCACCATGAACCATCTCATTGACTCCTCACCCCAACCCCATAGCGCTGCCCTCATTTTTCCAAGCAGGAAAGAGAAGCTCCAAGAGACAGAACAATGACACTAAGAAGGAATCCTATGACAGCCTGTCCCCAGCGCCTGTCCCACAGCACAAAGGCCACGGATCCAGGAGGCAACCAACGTTAGCTGGCCACACAACACTGATAGGTGGCACAGCTTCTGCGACGTGTCCCTTCCCACCTGTTCATTCACCCCCTCTCACCTCCTGGTCTCAGCTTCATTGAAGGGCACACACAAGGGTCTGGGGACACAGTGGTTAAAATCAGGACTCTGGAGTCCCCTCTGAGTTGATCTGAGTCCTGACTCCACCTCTCCCTGGGACGGAATTTGGGACCACCCCTCAACCTGTATGAGCTTCTATCTAGTAGAGGTAAATGGGATTAATAAATTGAAGGAAACCTTGCATGTGAAGAGTCAGCAATGCAAATGCTCAATGCTTTATTATTATTACAAAATAATATTTTATAATAATTTGCACCTATTATTATTACAAAAAGGACACCAGTCATTTAGCCCCGATATCCTTGTTTCCCGGCCAAAGGGTCTGAAGTAAGAGCAAGGTAAGCTTTCAACTAGGAGAAGACAAACAGTTCTTAAGTTCTGGTCACTGGGCAGGGATTCCAGAAGTTCTGAAAAGGTGGGAAGGGACAGTCAGGTAGGAGGGTGACTGGTCAGAAGCCTGACTGACCAGGGTAGCTGAATAACTCAATAATGCTTTCTCATCTGGGGGTCCAGGGAGCTCCCTCTTCTTCCCACCATAGCTGGTTTCCTGAGTCCTTCCAACTATCCCATGAGGGGCCCGAAAATCCAGGGTCACTCACCGCCATGACCAGCTCGAAAGGGTACTTGTAGACACGGACAGGAGACTGGTACTTCTGCACCATGCTCACACTTGGAAGCCACCCAGATGGTGGCCAGCACAGAGCCTGGGTGAGGGGTGACTGGTGAGACAGTAGCTCCTTTCACACCAAGCAGGGACACTCCCCAGCCCCTCTGGCCCACCCACACTTCTCTCCAGCCCTCAAAGTGAGGCACCTGATACGATTTCCAAGTTAGTCCAGGCCAGGCTTCAAACACCTGTCCTGTCCACTACCCAAGACCCCAGACTACACTCACCCTTCCAAGAGCAGTTAGCACCTCCAAACCTTCCTCCATTCCCACCCCTTCACAGGGAGGGTCCCCCAGAATCACCCTTCACCGTCACACGCACACGCACACACACGCAAGCACGCGCACACACACGCAATTCCTACACTCCCACCATTCTCTTCACACATGCTCCCACAGCTTGCCACAGACATCCTGACGGATAGCCCCCCAAGTATCCTGCACTCCTATTTCCCTCCAAGACACTCTCACATACACACAAGGGTCACCAAATTTCACCCACACTGTCTCTGCCACACACATGCATGACTCCCCTCCCACACAGGACCACCATGCACAGGTACACAACTTTGCACACTCACGCAGCTCTCTGAAGCACACACCTACCCAAATCCACGCACACAGAATTTCCCTGATGTACACAGACGTGCACACACACTCATGCGCACACGCACTTGCACACCCACACAGAAGCAGGCACACACGCATAGGCACGCACAGGCCCCCGCAACCCTGCTCACCTCAGCTCTTGGAGTCTCTGGGGACACAGCCTGGGGGGCAGTGTCCTGGCACTCGCCTGGCCCAGGAGCTGAGCTCGCCGCGCCTCCAGCGGTCGCCGAGCGGGAGCACAGCGCCTGGGGCGGAGCCCGACCGCGGCTGCCAGGCCAGGGGCGTTAAGTCCAGCACACCCGGCGGTCCGGCCAGCAGGGGAGGAGCCCGAGAGGCTGGAGAGAGACCTGCCGGGCCCGGAGCGCTCCAGGACCCGGGACAGCGGAGATCGGGCTGGCCCCGCCCACGCCCTGGCCCCGCCCACGCCGCCTGCCAGGGCCCCGCCCAGGTTTACCTTGCTCACTTACTGGCCCCGCCCCGGACGGATTCCTCCCTCCCCTCTTAGCCCCGCCCTCACTTTGCATGTCCCTTGCTTGACCACGCCCTCATCCCGACCCTTCCTCCGGATTGGCCACGCCTCCGGACGGCCCTGTGTTCTCGTCCCGCCCCTAAGGCGCCCAGCCTCGGGAACCGCGGTGCGGCTGGGAGGTCCCTGCCCCCAGGTGGGCTCTGCGCCCCGCCGGGCCAGTGCCTCCGGCGCAGTGTACTTCAGCCCATCAGTGCAGGTGCATCGTCCCTCGCTCAGGTTAACCTCGGCTTCATCCCGCAGCCCTGGGCTGGAGCCCCGCTCCTTCCTCCACCTGGCCGTGCCCAGGAGGCCCCTCCAGGCGTTCTGCACGTGTCCACAAAGCCCCCGCTCTGCGTCGGGCCCTGCAGGCGCTGAAGAGTCACCAGAGAACACACCAGACTTCCTTGCCCTCGTGGGTCTTCGTTCCATAGGGGAGACAGACATTAAATAAATAAGGCAAAGAAGTAGGTGGTGAAAAATGCCAAAGGGAGAAAAATAAGGGGGAGGGGCTTCAAGAAACCAGCGGAGGGAGGTTTAGAACAAGGCGGATCAGGACCATCCTGGGAGGGCGACATTTGCCCACCCACCCCCCATTTTAGCTCACATCCGAACCCTTCAGCCCACCGGGACTCGCGGAGGCCCAGCTCTCCCCTCCTGAGTCCTGCCTCTCCACTCCTCATCTGTTTGGCCTGCAGGAGCCCAGACGCTGGCTCTGGATCGCTCTGTCACCCAGCAGCTCCTCTGCGCCGGCCCTGGATGAACTGGTCCGTCCCTGTGGGGGAATCAGACCTGCCTCCCACGGAGGCAGGCGGACAGCCCTCCGGACGTCTCGGCTGTCCCTGCAGTGAGCTGCTCCTTTCCCTGCCCAGCCGGCATCCCATTCTAGTCCTTGTGTCCACTCATTCGTCTTGGTTTCTGGCGGTCTCTCTCCGGAGACTGTGAGCTCCCTGAAGGCAGGGCTGTGGCTGCCTCATTGGTCAGCAAGCGAGTCTTCAGGATCTTAACTGGGGACCGTGCAGGCAGCAGGTGCTCCGTGCCCTCTGGGTTATCAGGGATGGAAATGGGACGCAGAGTTCCCCTCGCCGCCACAAGGTGGCGGCAAATGACAGCCCATGGCGTCGGGAGCAGCCACAGGTGACTTGGCTGGCGGGGCTCCTCCCCGTGCTCTGCGGGAGGGCTCGGTGCAAGGCTCGCGGTGTACATCAACAGTGTTAGCTGGTGTCGCGAGCACAAAAGGCGAGTGGGCGCCTCCTCTGCCCCAACACGGGAGGATTGACTCTGCGGGGCGGGAGCGGGGGCTGGTGCGGCGACTGGACACCGAGCGCTCCACGCAGAAAATGGGACCCGCAGGGGGGAGGAGAACTTCACTTCCTCTTCCTCCAGCCCAAGGGAACAAATAAATAATGTCACCGGCACCTACCACGTGTGTCTCCTATTCTTACCCGCTTCTACAGTTAATTAATCCTCCCCGTCCCCCTTTTCGTGATGTTGAGGACCAAGCCCAGAGCTTCCTGCGGTCTAAGCCAGCGCTGCACCACCCCCAGCGGCCCACCTCCGACCGAGTCCTCATTTGCATTTACTGTTCCAGGCGCCGTTTTAGAAGCACTAATTCATTTAATCATCAAAACAGCTCCTATAGTTATGAACACGTTTTTGAACTTGATAGAGGTGGTGGTTGTGCATGGTGTTTCTACTAAATACCACCAGACTGAATACACTAAAATGGTTCGTTTTAAGCCCAGCTCAGGGGTGGAGAGGCTGAGAGGCAGGAGGTCACAAATTAGATGCCAGCCTCAGCAATTTAGCAAGACCCTGTGTTGAAATAAAAATTAAAAAGCACTAGGGGTGTGGGTCAGTGGTAAAGTCCCCTGGGTTCAATCCTCAGTAAAAAAAAAAAAAAAAAAAAAAAAATCTTAAAAATGCTTAATTTTATGTCCCATGACTAGTTTTCAGGTTTTTTAAAATTATTATTTTATTATATTATTTTATTTTTTGTGTGGTGCTGGGGATTGAACCCAGGTCCTTGTGATGCAAGACAGGCACTCCACCAACTGACTATATCCCCAGCCTGTTTGGTTGTTGTTTATGTGGTGCTGAGGACTGAACCCAGGGCCTCACTCAACCTAGGCAAGTGCTCTACCACTGAGCCATAACCCCAGCCCCTCAAAGGTATTTTAATCTGCATTTTACACAGAAGGAAACAGGCACGGAGAAGTTAAGTAACCCGCCCAAGAGAACAGCTGGTAAGAGACTTGAACCCAGGACTGGTCCTCTAATGCCTTCTTTCCCCAGGGATGCGGCAAAGTGCCTGGAAGCTGTGATTTCCTAGCCTTCGTTGCAAGATCCGCGTACCCAGGCCCCAGATGAGGAGGTCCTGGAAGCCCACACCAGTCCCCTGGGGATGCTGGGGCGGGACCCAGGGATCCAGGGCAGGACTTCAGCCTCTGCCCAGTCCGGCTTGTTCTGCAGGGATGAGCCTGCATAGCTGCCTGTGGGGAGGCAGCTTGGGGGACCCACTCCACCCCATTCATCTGAACGTCTTCCCGGCAGAAGAGCGGCTGCCACGGGAACTTTAGCCACCAGTAACCATTTATTTGAGTAAAACACCAGGTGCGGATGCCCCTGGAACGAAGTGTCCTCAGCTGGGTGGCCCAGACCCAGGGTGAGGAGGAGGGTGGGAGCCAGAGGAGCCAGGTCCAGGCCCAGGGTGGGGGGCGCAAGTGGTCCTGATCTGCTCTTGGAATACAGGAGGGCCCTGGGGGCTGAGGCTGCCCAGAGCCGGGCAAGCAGGCCAGGGCGCCCACCTCGATGACTGGGGTGAAATACACGGAGCATGAAAGTCACCATCTCCACCGTGTCCCAGTGTGCGGTCCAGGGGCTGGGCCTCAGCACCCTGTCTAATCAGGAGCACTTTCACACACCCCCCCCCCAGGGAAACAGGCGCCTTTAAGCAGCCTTCCTCCTCCGCTCCCAGCCCCAGGCAATCTGCATCCGCTCCCTGGAGGATACCGCCTTAGTCCGCGGCTGCCTCTAAATTGTGTTCTTTCTTGGGGATTCGCAGAGCACACCTGGGGGCCCCGTGGATTTGGGAAGCTCGAGGGCCCTCAGGGTCAAGGCAGGGCTGTGTGTACAGGTTGTGACCTGCACAACTGCATGCAGTGGTCCAGTCACTGAGCAGCCTCCATGGGCAGAGGCCCAGTCTGGGGCATGGAGACAGAACAGCGCGAGAGTCTTGCGGCTTGGGGAGGGTGACCAGGAGCTGGTTCATGGTCAGAGGGTCTCAGTCTTACAAGATGCAAGCACGTAGAAATAGGGATGCTTCTCTTGCACAGAGCTGTGCGCTCACTGCGGCTTAATGTGACCGTGTGTCTCACCTGGATGGAAGCGCAGCACTGGGAGCTCTGTGCATACCCGAGTCACAGGGCTGTCAGGGATCCCGGAGGAGCTCCACGCACAGCAGAGGCTGGGCTGGCCTGGTGGCAGGGGCCAGCCCCAGGGGACGTCCTGAGGGGCAGCATTTGCAGTGGTGGCCAGCAGTTAAGGAGAGCAGGAGCCTGCTTTCTTGAGCTTTTGACTCCCACGCGGTCTACTCCACCCTGGAAGTGTGTGGGGTGGTGGCTTCAGTGTATTCAGAGTTGTCCAGCTCTCCCCACAAACAACTGGACATGTTCTTTTCTTTCTTCTTTCTCTCCCTTTCATTGTTTTTTTCCTTCCTTCCTTTTTCCCCCCTTCTCCCCCCCCCTCCCCCCCCCCCCCCTCCCCTCCCCTCCCCTTCTCTCTCTCTCTCTCTCTCTCCTTGTTCCTCTCTCCCCCCCCCCCCCCCTCTTTCCCTTCTGGGGATGGGCCTCGTCCTTGCCAACGTCCACCCTGGGGCTGAGCTGCCCCCAGCCCTGGCAGGACATTGGCAGAGCCCTTGGGAAGCCCCATGCAGCCTCCTCCAGCCCCACGGCCACTCACCCGCTCTCTGTCCCCCTGCCTGTGCCTGGCCTGGCCTCTCCTGTGGGTGGCCTCTTTCCCTCAGCACGGTGGTTCTAGGTCTATCCACGGCCAGCCAGGTGCCAGGGCTCCCTCCTTCTTCTTTTGTGGTGCAGGGAGTTGAACCCAGGGCTTGCCCGGGCTCAGCCAGTGCCCTCCACTGAGCGAGGACTGCCCTTCATTCCTGTTTGGACTGAGTCACCTCCCCCTGTGGATGCCACCTGGATTCACCCAGTCCTGGTGGTGAGAGGTGTGGGAGTTGGTAGCTCTGCCTGCTTCTGGGTCAGGGGGAAATGACCCACCCAGGAACCTGCCAGGCCAGAGCCCCACGGCTGGACCGTAGGCTGCACGAGCAGAACTGGAGTTCTCATGGCCACTCTCCCATAGGTGTCTCGGGTCAGTTTCAAATCTGGATCCCGCAATCCCCTTGAGTTTAGAAGATGCTCCGAGAGGTGCTGAGGCAGGCGTGACCTGGGAGCCTCGCCACTGGGCAGCCTCCGGTACACTGCCCCAGCCTCTGGGTGACAAGACTTGGGGGGTGTCCAGGGTGGAGTACCAGAGGGTGGAGGGGGTCCCATTCCCTCTCTCCTGCCGCCTTGGTGGCCCAGAGACGAGGCCCCCTGAGTGTGGAGGGTGCTGTGTCACCGCAACAAGCCACTGTCAACTTGTGTCTTGAAA